CTTAGCTCAGGAAGGAGGGCTCCAGAGCAAACTAACTTATGCAGTAGCCAAATCGCTCGCTCACAGCTTTAATGCCAGTAGCTCACAAAGTAGAACTTTTGCTCACAAGACTCCACAGCGTAGAGGGAACATTGCCCACCACTGCCTGGTAGACCAGCGGGGGCGGGGGGGGAATGAAGAAAAAAGCCATCTAATTGATGACACGATGCCATTTCCGGGACCAGCCTAGACATGACATCTCGCTGCTCTAGCATTCAGTGGGAACTCTGTGGTTAACAGCATGGGGCTTCTACTGAATTCTAGAGTGGTGTGACATCTCTTCTGGGTTTTGCCCAGGAATGACATTCTGCTGCCGTTGACAGCATGCTCCATCCCCCCATGAGTCACTCACGGGGGTGGCACGCACCCTCTCCCCCCCTGCAAGATTTAAAGAGCCCTCCAGCTGATCGGCGGGCCACGTGCTTGCCGCCGATCAGCTGAAGTGCCCTTTATATCATGCAGGAGGGGAGGGAGAGGGGCCCACACCGCCACTCCTCACTTCTTCTCAAAAACGTTTAAAGGATCCCATTAACTGCTTCTCGGAATAAGGGGGCCTTTAAGAAGCAGGGGGCCCTTTAAGGAAAGGGGTGGAGCCCCCAATTGCCCCACCGTAGTTATGGGCCAGGATAGGTTGTCATTGCTTGCTTCTGCGTAGCAACCCTGGGATTCTTTGGTGGTCTCCCATCAAATACCGATGAGGACCGACCCGGCTTAACTTCCAAGAGCTGATAAAATCAGGCTTGCCTGGGCTATCTAGGTCATAGCAAACACACACCCCTATAGCACAGGGTTAATACATTTTCTGAAATTCTCGTCATCCACATTTCTCCACCGGCTTTGAGGTTCTAAATGACTGTCTTGCTTCTAAAGTGAAACAAATGCGTTGCAAATAGCCTGTCATTCCAATCCTTCTTTCCAAATTTTGGACACCGCACTGCTGGCGGCAGCTCTCAGTTCTTTAATCCCGTCGCAGTCATATCTCCCCTCCCCATGCGCTTGATAAAAACACTACAAAGGCCATCGTTTATTTGGCTGTATGTAGAACTGCATTAATTTTTCTTTTAATACTCGGGTAGATGTGCACACCAGAAAAACAGTGCATATATATATATATCCATTCAGGGGTCATTTTGTAGAAAAAGAGGTGCAGGAGCTCACTAGCATAACTTATTAGCATAACTTATTTGCATATGCCACACCCCCTGACATCACCGGAAGTGTGTCAGAAGGCAACACCCAGTGCTCAGGCTCCACTGGACTGTTTTGGATTGCTAGCTATTGGGGGGGGGGCATGCAGATCTGTCCTCGCAGAGGAGGGAGAGCTTGTACCTTAATAAAACTTGGTATTAAAGGTGCCACTGGGCTGTTTTGGACTGGGGGGCTGGGGGGAGGGAGCTCTGCAACTTACCTGGCTGCTTCTTGTTCTGACTGAGGGCTGCTGGGAGCAAGGGGTGGGGCTTGTTGCATGTGCCCAGCCCCTGGGCTCTTTACTGCCAGAACTCCGCTCCTGTGCACTCTTGCAGGAAATGATCCCTGCTTAGGTCTCTCAGTCCTACACTTGGTATAGTAATACAGGCCTTTAAGGGCTTTTTTTTTCATAGTCCTCTTTTTTTTAATACTTTATCAGAGCTGTCCTTGAAAAAGAGCAGTTTGTGTCAGAGTTCTCTCAGCCCCACCCACCTCACAGGGTGCCTGTTGTGGGGAGGGGAAGGGAAAGGAGATTGTAAGCCGCTCTGAGACACCTTTGGGTAGTGAAGGGCGGGGTATAAATCCAATCTCTTCTTCTTCTTCTTCCTGGGCTCCTTACTGCCGGAGCTCTGCTCCTGTGTGCTCCTGCAGGAAATTACCCCTATATATATATATATAATCAGCAGAGGAGGGAAAGTGGCGTGGTATTGTCAGATCTTGGAAGCTAAGCAGGGCTGGTACTTGGGCAGGAGCCCACCAAAAAAGGCTCTGCGGAGGAAGGACATGGCAAACTACTTCAGCTTAGAATCACAGAGTTGGAAGGGGCCAAACGGGCCATCTAGTCCAACCCCCTGCTCAGTGCAGGATCAGCCTAGCGCTGCTGAAAAGTACTGGGCCAGACGGATCGTGGAGATGCCGCATGTGCTGAGAAGCCACAATTTCTTCATATCGGGGCCGGTGGTCCCCTGGACCCGGAAGAAGTATGTGAGCTGTTTGACCCATGCTTCCCATAGCTCGGGGTGAGCTGGGTCAAAGATGGAGATCTGTTGATACAACCCAAGAGTGCACTAGCCTTTTTTTGTCGCCACATCACACTGGCTGCTCATATTTAACTTTCGGTCCACCCGTACCCCAAGATCTTGTTCACACACACTGCTACCCAGAAGTGTATCCCCTATCCAGTATGTGTGTTCCTCATTTCTGTGACCCAGATGTAGAACTCAGCACTTATCCTTGTTCAGTTGCAACGAGTTCATATCTTCCCACTTTTCCAGCGTGTTCAGATCTCGTTGAATCCTATCTCTAATCTTCTGGTATGTTCGCTGCTCCTCCCAATTTGGTGTCATCTGCAGATTTAATGAGCAGCCCCTCCACACCCTCATCCAGATCATTTATAGAAATACCGAAAAGTACTGGGCCCAGAACTGAGCCCTGTGGCACACCTTGCCTCCAAAACCCCTTGCTGGGGTCACCGGACGTCAGCTGCGAGTTGACAGCCCTTTACACACGTATATATATATAAGCCCATCAAGATGACTGTTTTTTGGTTAGAATGCCACTGTGATTGTATAAATGGTTGTGTGCTTTTTGCAGCATCAGTGTGCATGGCCACATGTATCAGTAGACATGGGGGGGTGAAGATGCTAATGAGTGGAAGGGACTGATAGTCGCAGCGACCTGTGCCATGCGGCAGTTCCAGAATTAATTTTAAAAATTCTTCTAATTAAGCCAGTTAAGTAAGGTGGTGGGGAATGCAGGGCAGAGTGAAAGTCCTGGAAAATTAACGGCCAGAATGGGGAAAGAGCTCATCCCTAATAATAAAACTGACCTACTTTTATAGGGCTATTGTAAGCATTGCCACATGCTCACGCATACCCTTTAAACACTCAAAAGCGCTCTGTAAAGTATCTCTCCTTATATATAATTGTGTTTTGGGGGTGGCAGTTTCCAGAACATTCCACACGCTCCCAAATCAGTTGGCACAATGATCTGTCACTCAGAACGTGTCCCTATCTACTGGCTGCGTTGCCTGAGTCGCGCCCACAGAACTAGCACCCACGAAAATTTACCTCAGAGTGCACCTGGCTCCCTCAGAACACGGACACTCTGGCCCTGCCGCTGCGCCCAGCCCCCTCACAAGACAGAGACTACGGCCCTGACGGTTCGCTCTGTCACTGAGCCCGGCCCGGCCTTGGCCTGCACTGAAGCCGGTGCCTACAGGCAGTGCACACCACAGCCTGCCCCTGTCCACCACCCACTGCTCCTTTGGGAAGAGGAGCCATGCTCGACCCGCCCAGCTCCACACCCGCCAACGCTTCAGGTTGCTCCCGCTGAGAGGCCTACCGGGGACAAGCACCCGGTGGGTGGGTGGGAGGCAGGGAGCTACAGCGCTCTAATGAAGGGGTTGTTACCAGAATGGGGGCGGGATTGCTGCTGCTGCTGCCAGGGCCCCAGGCACACCTGCTGCTGCTGCTGCTGCCACTGCTGCCAAAGTTTTCACCCGCTGACCGCCCGCCCTGAGAGGCAGCCACTTTGGTCATGCCCGCTGCCTGGCGGTGGTGGCAGCAGGGGGGGCGGTGGCAGAGGGAGCGTGATTCGGCCAGCCCTCCGTGGTGGTGCTGCGCCAGTCCTCAGTCACTCACCGTCTCCACCAACCTCCGATTTCCAACCTCCTCTCCTCCCCCCCCCCGCAAGCAGACAGGCAGCAGCAGCCTCTGCCAAGATCCTGCAGCTTCCCAGTGAAGCGCCCTCTCTTCCCTCCCCCTGGCCTCTCCCACACGCCCCCCGCCGCTTACCCCCCAGCACACTCTCTCTTTCACTGTCAACATTTCCAACGCCAACACCAACCTTCCAAAGACTACAAAGCAAAAAATTATGAATATATATATAAAATGAGGCTGGGGGGGGAACAAAAGGGCAGGGAGGAGGAATTCCGGCGTACCCCCCCTTTTTCTCTCTTAATCTGCTTCCAGCCAATGCATTCCTTACACATCACATCTTTCTAGAGCTCGTTGTATTGCTTTTACAATGAGCTTTACTGCTAGTTATTAATAAAGGATTCCTAGTCATTAATGCTAAGAATCATTAATATATATTCAGGGTAAAAACAGAACCAGGGCTGCCCCTAGGGTTGCCAGTCTCCAGGTGGAGCCTGGAGATCCCCCAGAATTATGACTGATCTCCAGACTACAGAAATGAGTTCTCCTGGAGTAAATGGCTATTCTGGAGGGTGTACCCTGCTGAGGTGCCTCCCCTCCCCAAATCCTGCCTTTCCTAGGCTCTGCCCCTCCCCCGATCTCCAGTAATTCCCCAGCCCAGAGTTTGCAACCCTAGCTGCCACTGAAAGCTTTTTTTTTTTTAAGTACTGGTTTTCAAATTTGGATTAGCTCAAATCATAACGCAATCAGCCTTGTGGACAGCTTTTTAATAGACTCGCCTAGGGTGAGTAAAGGCTCTTTCCAGGCGAGCATGTCATAAGTTGTTTGTAAATTGAAAGAAAACCCATTCCTTTCTATCGGGCTGTCGGGATATAGCAAAACTGGCTTGTGTTCTGTGTTCGAGAGCAGGACCTTGGCCCCATCCCAAGCTGAGAAGTGGCTTTGTGCTCCTTAGTTGCAATTTTAAAAAATACTGGGATTGGAGCATGCGTCGATTCCAGGAGTGGCGCATGCACAGTTTACCACAGGGTTTCAGCCTAGTGGTTACGAATGTTGGACTAATACAGGGGTGTCAAACATGTGGCCTGGGGGCCGGATCAGGCTCCCGGAGGGCTTCTATCAGGCCTGCAGTGGAACTGGCTGTCTTCTGCTTCTTCCAGTTCTGCTGCTGCTGCGTCATCGTAGGTTTCCAGCTTACAGATACACACCTAAACCACCATACTCAAGACTGCAACCGCACAGACATTTTGATGCCTTAATTCAGAGCAAGAGGTGTCCGTTATCAGACACTGTTAAATAAACAAAGTATTGCAAGAGTGCTAATGTTTTAAGAATGTTTTATTTTAAGTTAAAAATAAAACCATTTGTGTTTGTGTCCTTTACCTGACATTACGTTTTATGGCACACACGGCCTGGCCCAACAAGGTCTCATTTATGTCAGATCCGGCCCTCGTAACAAATGAGTTCGACACCCCTGGACTAATATCTGGGAGACCCAGGTTTAGGGATGTGTTGGATCCCCAGGCATTCGAAATAACTCCACGTTTGAATCAAAGCAAGGTTTATTTCAAAGCGATGGTTCAGACAGGAACAAGAACGTTGTTAGGAATAACTACCAATACACAAGCATAGCATATAAGAGGGATTTGAACCCTGTTGGGCCAATGAGGCCAGTTCCCGCTGGCGGGAATAGAACTCGTAAACGCGCGCCTATTCCATGGGAATGTAACAGTCCAGTACCATCAACCCAGTTTCAATTCACAGGGTAGATAACCATAACAAACTTAGCGAAGCTCCGACTCCCCCCCACCAGCTGCACGACCTTGGCCAGTTCCGCAAAACACAGAGAAGCGTAATGAAGCAGTCTAAACCCAAAGGGGGGGGAAGAGCACAAGGCATATGAAGCAGGTAACATCAGATACAATGGCAGCTAGCTGACAGGATGGGGCACAAACTGGGAAAACCTGGACCCAGCTGCTCTGATGAACCAAACCAGTTCGGGAAGTTTGGGACATGGTGGGGTACCTCCCCCCACCCCCGGGGTCCTAGAGACACCACCCCCACTGTTGTCTAGCATTTTTGCACCACAGTTTCTGAGTGGGTTTCGTTTTCCAAACAGCCTCAGAGATTTCGTCAGAGACCATGCGCGTGTCAAAGGTTCCCTCCCAAGCCCCAATCTGGCCAGAATTCGACACCAATTTTGGCTCGTCCTGCGGTTCATGCTCAGCCCTACCCAGATTCAAATCTGCTTGTGCTGTGGAAACTTGCTGGGTGACCTTGGGCCAGTCACATGCTCTCAGCCTAGCATACCCCACAGGGTGGTTGTGAGGATAAAATGGAGAAGAGGAGAATGATGTTACGCCCCTCTGGGTCTAAACAAATTAAGTAATTAAAATAAATAAATAGAGGGCCGTACCAAACCGTAGATGTGCGGCACATTTTTTGGAAATAAAAAAGAACAGCGGAAGACCGATCCTGATGGTTCCGTTCCACTGCGTAAGCAGGATTGGCCCTTTAGGAATTCCAAAATCAGGGAAAGGAGGCTCTCAGAAGAATCATCTGCATTTACTACTAAGCCATTGCAGAATGTCCTGGACCAGCTCTGAGCCAGGGCTGGCTGTGATGCGAGATTAACGCTTTGAAGCTTGAGCTAGATTTTGCGGTGCGATTTAATGCAGCTATGTGTAAGAGGAATGTAATGGATGTGTTTATCTGTTTATCGCTGCCAAGTGTAGACAGAACATTCCCTGGAGTGAGGGTAATCTGCTCTTCATGTGTCTACATTTAAAGTCGTTTAGCCGTCAATCCATCGCCCCAGGGGCTCCTGGGAACTGTAGTTCTCTCGGGGTGGGGGAGTCTCCTTCCCCCGGAGGAGTTGTGAAAGCTGGAAGGTTGTCTGTGGCCTGTAGGCTCATCAAATATCATAAAGCTTTCCATTTAAAGTGCTTCCGGAAGTTGAAAGCGTTTTGTGCACCTAATCTTTACAATAACCCTATAAGGTAAGCCCATCTAATTATCCCTGTATTATGAAAGGCTGAGAGGCTCTGGTTTGTAATAAATGTGAGCCGGAGGCATTGTTAGAGCTGTGAACATCTGGATTTTAGCTCAGGGTCTCAGTCTGCATTCGGCACTGGTTTCAAAACTTACCACGGATCTGTTCAGTTGATATAGTAGAGGGTTTCTGGGACGTGTTTCCCCTCCCTCAAGTCCAACATCTTTTCCTTGTCTTTCGCAGCATCCCTGGCTCCGCTGTCTGTGCCTTCGATATGGCCCAAATATCCTCGGTCTTTGAGGGGCGCTTCCGGGAGCAAAAATCCCCTGAATCCATTTGGACCCCGGTTCCAGAGGAATTGGTACCAAAGCCACGGTGAGGGGAAAAATTCTTTTAAATCAGCAGTTTGCCATGATGGGTAAAGAAAAACCTTCATGTTCAGAGGCAGCATACCTCAGAATATGGGCGACACGGGGAGGGAAGTTGTTTTCATCCCAGCCTGCATGGGGGGGTTTCCTGACCACTCTCAGAAACAGGTTGCTGGTCAAGAGGGACCCTCGGTATGATTCAGAAGGATATTTCTAACGGTGTATATCCATGCTTGATAATTGAGCTTAAGACCCTTGGTCATAGGAGCTAATAAACATAAGTATAAAAGAATATTTGTGTTTTTTTTTAAAGGGGTTAGACAGATTCATGGAAGCGGGGAAGTCCATTTCCCCCAATATGGGGGGGAGGGGGGATTTGGCTTCTAGAATTGAATGCTGAATTAACCCCAGAAATGAAAGGTCGCTTTTTGGGAGTTCCCTTTTCAGAATGCCGGTGTTTCTGCGATACGGGGAAGAGATAGGCACCTCGGCTCATCTAGTTATCGAACGTGCCGTATTCAGTGAGGAGAGACAGAGATGGATTACCCCGATACTTGAGAAGAATGAGCTCACAAATATTAATCAGCACCTTTCTTTTCTTTTACAAGATAAGGACCCATCTATCACTAGGTCACTGGCATCCTACCTTTTAGCAACCCAGCTTAGAATTTAAAACATTTTGTAACGGGGGTGAGATTCCCATGTGGGGTTAGGCTGAAGGCTGTATCGTAAATGGAAAGGGAAGTCCATCAGGAGCAGTGATAGCAATGTCTACCTCCTCACATAATATCCAGCGCAAAACAGACACTATAGGGGTCTAGTGCTACTTTGAACATTCTGATCACTAGGTACATTTGTTGCTGTGGAATTTAATCCAGGAAAATATTCCCATTATCTTTGCACCCTGCACCCTATGTAATTAATCCTGAACAGGGGTCATTTCGTAGAAAAAGAGGTGCAGAAGCTCTTTAGCATAACTCATTTGCATATGCCACTCCCCCTGACATTACCGGAAGTGTGTCAGAAGGCAACACCCACCGCTCAGGCTCCACTGGACTCTTTTGGATTGCCAGTTATTGCAGGGGGGGGAGAATGTACAGATCATTCCTCGCAAAGGAGGGAGAGCTTGTACCTGTTGCAGGAGTGCACAGGAGCGGAGCTCCGGCAATAAGGAGCCCAGGGGGTGGGCACGTGCAACAAGCCCCGCCCCCTGCTCC